AGAGAGAGAGAGAGAGAGAGAGAGAGAGAGAGAGAGAGAGGATGGATTTTCGCGCTTCCCACAAAGAAAATCCATTGCCCTTCCTATCAGCTGAACAATTATCGCAACACGTTTTAATTAGTTCTTCTCTACAAGACGCGATGTCCACGGTGAACGGCCCGGGGCCCAATTGCCGGATCAAATAGACGCAGGAAGCCTCGAGATAGATATCTTTGCTTTTTCGAGCACTACGTTGGGGAAGGAGGCGATCATAACATGATCAAGAAGGGGCCGTTGCCTCTTTGCTCCTCGGTGTTCTACATTTACCGAGACGAGAGATAGTCGCGGTGCGACAGTTGGTCGACAATAACGGGAAGGGTGTTGTAGTCCAACAACCGCTCACTCTCGAAATGCCTCGAGTGTGAGCGTCCTACACTGAGCTGTTTCTGTTGGCAAGGGCACACATCACGATCTCGAGAAACTAGCACGATCGCACCGTATCCTCCGCACGGAGTTACAGAGCGCTTTCCAGCAAAATAGGCACCTGTCTCGATCGTTGCGGAACTCCGCTACGCCCGGGATCCCAGGGATGTTGGCGATACCCCCCCCGATTGCCGCTCCGGCGTGAATCATGGGGCCTTCCTTGCCAATAGGTAGCCCCGAGGCCACTCCGAGGATAACGCCGAATACTTTCGTAACCAGAGTACTCGGAGCGAGGACCTGAAGTTGTGGCCAAGAGGGAGGGGTGTCATGTGAGGTGGTTTTTTCGAACGCGACACGCGTACGTGGTCAAACAAAACCACGTCCAAGAAAATCTATGAATCGTCGCCGTGCCCATGAATATTTTTCTTATCACAGCCGAAGATTTGCCGTAGGTAACGTTGCTGCTATTTTTCTTTTTCGCTGGGCTTCGAAAACCAACCGGATACCATCACCTTGGGCGATAGTGCTTCACGTCGGTGCTTGCGCTGCTGATGCTGTCTGGAATTCTTCGCTGTTGTTGTCTCTACAGTAGTTAGACCCGCTTGGGCCTTGATGCAGTGCACAAATTCCGTACTCTTTACACCAGTCGTAGAAACGAACTGTGCTGTAGTTACACCAAGCGTAGCTTGTGCCTGCCCTTCTTTCGTTCAAATATTTGGTAGGTTTAGGACACGGGCCGCCCCCTCAGCATGCTGCTGACAAGACAACACAAAACCGTACCTCACGCTCCTACGTTTGCTTTTGGCAACTAGAAACTGCCATGCAACAATGATCGCGAATTCGCATGGTAAAAGCGCCATGCTTGCGGATGCTTTTTCTTCACCTGGGGAATACTGACCCCATTCAGCAAGCACTTGGTCTCCGGTATTCCCGAACCATTCGACCACGGCTGATACCATACCATGCCGAAAGCCCCCACCGTGAGAAGGCTGTTGATGAACCACAGCCACGCGAACGCTGTCCCATAGCGCTTGAAGTCTAGTGTGAAGGGTTGGCACGGAGGGCACGGACGAGCACAGGAGCCAAGGTCTTTCTCGAGTCACTTGCTGCTTTTGCGTAACGCGGCACTACACGGGGTGCACAGGCTAGGAGGTTGAGGAACACCCTGCCCCCTCCCCGCCAATTCCACCGCCGAAGTGAAACATGCCCTATTTTGCCTGCCGGCAGAGCCAAGTCTTTCCAACCTGGTGATCCGGAATCACATACGGCAGTGTTTCCGGGTGATGGTGAACGGACGAGGACAAAACCCACCGGATTCGCCCTCATGCTCTTCGATGATGTGGGCGATGAAATGAAGCTTGGCGTGCACGATCCACTCGGTGAAGAACGTCACGAAGCAGCCAGTTAACCCCACAGCGATACCCAACACGAGGGTCAGCGAACGCCCGACGAGCTTTCGGTGGCGTTTCGATCCTTTCGTCCCGCCGCGGATGTTATTTGCTGCATCTTGTTTGTGTGTATGCCACACCTGGGGAGTGTTGGCAAATAAACATGGTCAGAAATATCGACAAGGACGCGGAAGGCAAATGTCGCGCGCGAATGTATCTTCGGGTTAGCACAAACGAGAAAAGGGTGAACACAAAGTGTTGAGAACCCAACCCTGCCAGCATGGCGTCCTCTCTCTTGACATCGTGAATAGACTACTGGCCGATTATATGCGGAAGAATGGTTTCCTACGGGGGAAGCAAACCAAGAGAATCTGTGTGCCCGACATGAAGAACGGTTCTCTGGGTGTCAATAACCACCGGCTACATGCATGCGATCGCGCCTTGCCCGCCTCATAACGCGTGATCCGAACCCGGTCACCCGAAGTCTGTCCTCTGCGTTGGCGCTGGCACAATATTATTTTGAGGAGGCAGAAGTTGAAAACTTTTCGCACCTTGCTGTCGTAGAGCTCGTAGTCTGCAGCTTCAAAGGTCTTGTGAGCTAGCCTTCGTCGCCGCCGGGCCTTAGCCCAGATGGTTTGCAATTGCTGGTGACAACAAAGAAGTACGATGAGCGGTAAAAGGTGAAGAGAAGATCTGATCGAAAAGATATCATGGACGTTGGTTCTCACGCAGGTTATCTGTACATGCCCTTGACTTGCCGTATAAGGAACTACAACGCTCCTCCTTATTTGCACTTGGTCGCGATTTGAATGTAGAAGACTCGTGTCATTATTCGTGTTGACATGGGGGACGGAGGCCCTTCCTCCCATCCGGGGAATGTTAATACTCACTTCACTAAATGATAGACAGCAGTAAATAACAACGGCAAGAACAGGCGTGTAAGTACGACTAGATAGTGTGAACCTTCCGGAATTGACTACCGTACCTCGGCGTCCTGCTGGTCGTCCTTCTCTACGACGTGCATCAGCCAGTCGCGAAGAACTGTGTTATACTTGTCTCGCCCGCGTGTTGAGTCGCCATTTAAAAGAGTAGTCCTGCCCTCAAGATCGATGGAATCGGTGTTCCTGCCATTCACCACCACGACGCCGCTCTTGCTGCGGTCGCACCTAGCATGAGGTACACTGTCTTGGCTGTTGTTCCCGTCACCACCGTTTCCCTCATTGGAGGAGTATATTGTGCTGCTGTGCGCCCGCTCAAAGAGGCTCAGTCGCCTGTGCTGTCCAAGCGGCGTCGGTTCCATGTCTGACGATTGAGTTGCTTCACGCATGACGAGAACTTCACGGTCCACTGTCAAGGGTGCACTATTCGCGGCCGCCGGCTCTGTGGAGCCACCCGGTAACTCGAGTTCGTGTCTGCTGCTCCTCCGTTGCAATTTCTCTCCTCTTGGCGCCGCCGCTGTAGCTGTATCATGCTGTGCGATCGACGCCGGGTTGGTCGCCTTGTTAACTACTATCAGCGGATTCACGCCGATGAGGAGCGGGGGTTGGAGGCCTCCATCATCGCTTACCACCGACGAGCACCCACTGCTAAGAACTTCATGGATAGAGTTTTGGCTACTCGCGTGATCGGATAAGCCAGCCCCGACCACGTGCGTTGGCAGAACCGGAGCGCTTAGGGTTGACAGGTCGCTATTGTTGCTGGTCTGCCCTCCCGTCAATGGTGCGCCTTCGACTTCATGATTCTGTCGCATTTCTCCGTCTTCTATTGGTGGCCGACTGCTGTTGCTGCCGGTGGAGACGTCGTCCTTTTTCGACTCCATGTAAACGACGTGTGAGCGTATGCAGAGGTCGGATTTCCGATGAACGAAAGTTCGGGCTCTGTCGCCGCGCCTATTCTTCGTGCTCCGCTCGACCAAACAGTTTTGGTACGGCGGGCGTACCGCTCCTTGTGTACTCCAGCTGCCACTTTGTAAAACAGAAGCCCCCTCTCTTTTAGTTCAGGTCTCACCAGGAACTTCTTTGCAATACACGAGATAAGGCCAAACGCCGGTGCTTGCGAGAGTGCTGCAGACGCGTCGGCCCCGTGATTTGTTGGTGCGGCAGCGACATACAGAGTACCACGATTCGCTGTCACGTCGTCGGTGTAATTCGATAGTTTTTTCGAGCCGTGTTGTAAGGACCTTGGTGTCGCTTGGTAGTGCTGTAGCGCGCGTAAGCGCGCGTTCCTCGTCGCCACACACCTCGAGCGAGTGCACCTGTGCTACTTGCTGTTTTCTCCCCGTTGTTCTCGTTTTCAAAATATTTTTTTCGGCGTTTTTTTTCCCTCGCTAGGTGCATGAAACCCGGTAGGCAAGCTACCAAACATTACTGCCATTTGCGGCGCCCCCATCATGACTGCCCTGTTGCCGGCGGTGCGAGGCAGGCGGGACAGGACCCTTCTCTCTTCGCAGGCCTGTCCTTTCGCTGTTCCTGCCCGTATTAATTTGCACCATCCACATTGCGGCGCATCTGTAGACCACGACGATAAGCATGATGGGCTCGAAGACTTCAATAAGTGCTTGCACGACGAGGGCCGCTCTTTTTCTTTCCGCATGCGCCCTCCTACTTCGACCTGCAACACCCTTCGTTCGGCTAGCACCCCCAGGTCTGTGCGCTGAGACGAAGCATGATGTGTGCTGAGGTAGTAATGTATGACCGTCAGCATACACACTCCGTGGTCGTCCTCATGTCAGCTCGAACCCAACATGAACACATGAACCATGACCGTTGGAGTATGCCTGCAGGATCACGACCCATTGCCCCGTACCCCCCCCAAGCGATTACTCAGAAGTACTTCTAGTAGTAGTTTGACTGGCGACGAAGGCCCTCAACGCCCGGCCCTGGGTTGTTGTTGCCGGTTATGTCAAATACTTGCATGAAGACATTTGGTGGTCTGGGTATTGCTAAGATCAACTAGTCACGCCACTTTGCAGGGAGAAAATGAACAATTTTTTTTTGGAAAGAGCCAGCGCGACATTTCAGATGTATCAACGTCGCGACTCTTCATGATCATCATCATGCAGTCCATGATACAGGAACCTCTTGCCTTTCTCTGTGGTTTAAGGGGTGCGTTTTCCTTGCCGTACTCTGCCCTTTTGCTGTTATCATCTATGCATTCAAAGCTTGGTGCGGTATGGTATGAGGACGTTTTGCCCGCCGCACGCGGAAAGAGTTTTGGGCGTCCCGCTGTGGTTGGGACGGGAAGGTGGGAAGCCATTTCATTGACGGGATGGGATGGAGCCAGCACCTTGCTCGATGAGGATAGACAATAAATGATAACCAGACATGAAACAGACAGGAAATCAGCGGGGGTTTGTGCTTTTTCGTTGCTGTGGGATCCACCCAACCACCACTCACTGACCAATGCACGGACTCGACAGACTTTTTGGCACGAGTACGGCCTGTTGTAGCGGGAGGTGGAGGACAACTGATCCGTTTACTCGCGGAACAACCGATCGGGTTGTGATTCCATATTTTCTTCACAGTTCTTGCACGGTGTGCGTGTGTAGGCGTATTGTACGTTTCGAGTGAATATTGCCACATGGTGTAAATATAGGCACGCCCCAGGACAGGGCGGGAGTACAATAATTGGGCAGAGAGTGGAATGTGAAGAGAGCGGAACGGGAACGGTTCAACTTTGAGCGGGATGGGAGAAGGTGGGAACAAAAGAGAGCGTCGCGGCAGGGCCGGGAGTGGCGGCGGGACGAAAAAAACACCATGGAAGCACCACACCATGCCGTACTACAACGCAGAGCGGGTACATCCCAACACGTCGCTTATGGGCGCGTAACCCTGATGCATAACCGTATGTACGGCCAGAGAGAAATTCCTGCGGTGTGCATCTGTCCGCTTAGGTTCAGCAGTTTCTTCGCACAGGCCTACGTCGGGACGGGATGCTGAAAAGCACACCTCACCGAGAATCGACCGTTCAGTCTCGAAACATATCATTTCTACACGAGTGCTTGGGGACCTTTATTAAAGGGTGGTGGACAGGCACCGTGTTTCTTGTCGATTACCGGGGACCATGTAGCGACAATCCACATACGTTGTGCGACGCCTCAATTGACGGACGAAACGGCCTTGGTTTTCGGCGCCCAACTTTGTTCTGTGGTTTCGCAGCAGGAGCTGCTGACCCTGCCGGCGCCGCGCATCGGCAACGTCACGTACGTCCTGTGTCTGCGCGCCCGCACCAGGCGCGGGTGAGTACAACAGCAGTGCCTAGCGTCGTACGTCACCGAAAGATAGATATGGTCCACCCGGGGAGTAAACTTGCAGCAGTGCACACGCCGGCACCGGTGGGACCGGGACCTACCTAGAGCAGATCGGAAGCCCGCGCACGAGGTCTTGAGGGGGGGAGGGGGGAGCATGGCGATACGGCGTGCAACAGACAACCCGCACAAACCTATCATTTTGCAGTCCACTGGGTCGATCCGACATATGGCTGTACCATCGCCGCCATGCAAGTTGTATCACGTCTGTAAACCCCCCGATTTGGACCCTACCCTCCCCCCCTGGTCCAGTCCACAGCACCCGTCGACATCCCATGTTCACGTCTCCCGCCACCTGTTGCGCAGGTGCTCGTCAACATGATGGCGGAGGTTGACGCAGACATCCCGGGCATCGCGGACTCGCGCTTAGCGGGGTGGAGGGTGGGGTCGAAAGAAGCAGCTGCTACTGTAGCAGAGGACACAGCAGCAGTGGACAGCGATGCAGACTCGGAGGGAGGCGCGGGCGAGAGCAGAGAGCCCCGGTGCGGGGATGTGGTCGAGGTGCGTCCGCTGTGCTCTCTCGCCTGCCGAGTTGGTACGGATGGTGCGGCAAACCAGCCCCATGAGCTGAGAGAGAACCAATCTGTCGGCATGTGCCAAGAACGCATCTTCGCGCCTCCTACCAAAATGCAACAACAGACTCGATTGCTGCTCCTGGCTTGGTGGCATCTGAGAAACATCGAGCGCATGAGGCATCAGTTGTGGGCACCAAAAGGTTCGCTGAGGACTACGTGTTCTGGGGTATACGATGTTCGGGCTGCGCACTAAATAAGGTAGCCGCGAGAGGATAGTGGAGCTCATCGCTCTGATTCGAGCAAGCTGAGCCGACAAAAAAAAAAAGTAAAAGAAGTAGACGACAGCTGCTGCAAATCGAGACAACCCTGATCAATGCGAGGCCGCAAGGGGGCGGGGGGGGGGGGGAT